GACACAGACTTGCAACTGCGCGTGCACCAGCATTGGCCACAGCACTGATTCACCACTTGGCTTAGCCACAACAGAAGCCACCGACACAAGGATAAGTAGCAGCCACAATTCGGAAACCACCAGATGACATCTGGACAGCCAGAGACACCCACCGCACCACAGCGCAGATCTGGGGCATTCCCTATCAACCCAAGGAGCACCTCAAAAAGACACGACTAGCCAACATAAGGATCCATAAGATGATTCTGATATTGGCGGTTACCAAACATTCAAACACAACGACCGCCTGCTTTGCAAAAGCAGCAAATTTGACATTCAACCTATCCAAACAGTTGCAATCCCGCAACTCCGACAACTAACCAACGGAACGCATTTCACTGACCCCGACCACTGCACATTCAACCAGCCGACAAAGGCTCCAACCAGACTGCGGGCATTGCGCGTGCTGAGGATAGCACGCGCTATTTCAGAGAGACACCACAAAAGCATATGCACTTGCAACATGCACAACCCAGCCGCAGACGTACCGACTCCAGGCTGCTACAACCTACCTTCAGACTTCTGTAGCCTCATTACGGAACGCTTGGCAGCAGCATTTGTGCGAACTAAGACAGCGTCACCAGAGGACACCTGCGGCTACCTATCACTGGACCCATACTTCTGGACACTGCACAGCAATGCACCGAAGGCGAGTGGACGACATTCTCTCTTCACCATACGTTCCGGTTTTAAAATATATGTGGACATTACAACGACACACGTGAGGTTCTAGTTTCCTGAATGAGACGGATTGCAATATTGGTCCGTCTTGGATATGCAAAGGCGGAAGGAGTTACAAATTCCGGATTTGCAGTTGTCACACCAGTGGTTTGGATTCGGAGTATACCCCTACCAGCACGCGACGCAGCGCCCGACATAGCGCCCCATGCACACAATCCGAGTACGTCTACAATACGTGTTTTGTGCGTTGTGTCGGGGAAAGTAATAGATCGACGGGTGTGTCTCTGAGGGGGTGGTGAACCAGGTAGGGCGGGATCAAGATCCCCGAGCCAAGGGGGAAGTCGTCGTCATCGTCGTCGAAGTCCGTCGTCGTCGAAGTGCGTCGTCGTCGTCCTCCTCCTTCTCTTCCTCCTCCTGTTCCTGCTCCTGCTCCTCTCTTTCCTCCTGCTCCTCCTCCTCCTCCTCCTCCTCCTCCTCCTCGCAGCGGGGGGCTTCTTGGAATTCGAGTCACCACGGAGAGGACCCCCCCTCCCAGCACGCCCCAAGCCCCAACAAAGGGGGCCCCGCCTCCATGGGATGGGCGGCAGGAGGAAGAGCGAGGAGGGGAGGATAAGGGGGATGGAGGGGGGTGAGGAGTAGGATGAGGATGAGCAGGAGGAGGAGGAGGAGGAGGAGGAGGACCAGTGTAAACCCAAGAACCACCGACGATGTTGGAATGGACCTTCCCCCCAAGTTCCCTCTTCATAGGCCCCTACAACGGTTCATCTCCACAGAGGGACTTGCCTCGTTGGAAGACAACCGTTTGAAGACCCTGACGCATGCCAGAATATCGTGTTCGAGATTTCAGCGCCACGGATCAGCCTGACTGTTGCGTCTTGACGACCTTGAATCGTGCCACAACGCCAGTCCTGGGACTCCAACACCGCGAATAATCGTAACTGCTGTTCCCCCATAATCGTGAATCTTTCTAGAGCACCATTTCTGGTGCCTCGATCATGGGAACCCGTGAAATTCGTGCAATTGTTAAAAGCGAATGTGCGCGGCGTTAGAGCGAGAGCCAGATGCTGTAAAGAACCCGCCCTCAATCAGCGAAATTCATGCAATGTTTAAAAAGAAGGTGCGCGGCGCTAATGCGAGAGCCACATGCTGAAATGGAACTGCCCTCAACCCGTGAAGCTTTTGCAATTTGTTTGAACGACTGTGCGCGGCGCTACGGCGAGAGCTACATGTTGAAAAAATGACCCGCTCTCAATCCGTGGAAATGTTGCACATGTTGAAACGAGTGTGCACGCTGCTAAGGCGAGAGACACATGCTGAAAACAACTCGCCCTCAATACGTGAAACCTTTTTGCAAATGCTTAAAAGAATGTGCGCTGAGGCGAGAGCCACATGTTGAAAACCACCCGCCCTCCATATGTAAAGTTGTTGCCATGGATTATGTTTCAGGGTCATAAGCGTTAAGGAAGTCTCAGGGGAAACGCCCGGACCGCCCTGAAAACTTGCCTCGGCGTGCGACAGGGTCAAGTTCTGTAGAAGGAAAAGGAATGGAGCAGGAGGAGGAGGAGGAGGAGGGGGAGGAGGACGAGGAGGAAAAGAAGGAAGGGGGGGAGGAGGACGATCAAGAAGAGAAGGGAGAAGGGCCGTAGTCGAATTAGGTGCACTCGCGCCACATCTGACATCCTGCCCCTCCCGCCCATCCCTTTCCATTGCGCTGATGCTTTTCTCTATCCGCCGACGGGTGTCGTAGCGGGCCTGGAATCCTCAAAACGACCCGTTCGTGCGATGCGCAATGAGAAAACACGAGCTGCGCACATTGGAAAAGAGTGGCGGATGAGCAGGGGGGAAGAGGAGGAACGTGAGGGAGCAGGAGGAGGAGGCGGACGACGAGGAGGAGGAACACCACCAGCAGGAGCAGGAGTGGGAGGAGCGGGAGGAGCAGGATGACCAGGGGAAGGTTGGGAAGGGGAAAGGAGCGGGGCGACATCGATGAGGAAGGACTCGGATCCAGGAAAGTGGTTCGCGCTGGGGCGAGATCGCCATCCTGGACAACGGACAGCGGGAGCAAAGCGCCGATCCCCAAATGAGGCCGATGCCGCAGCGGGGCACCGTTTTGAAACACTGAAAACGCTTGGATGGGAAAGACACGTGTGGCGCACGAGCGTTGGAAATTGCACGTGTCCAAAAAGCAAACGCGGAGAGGGCGGTACATCTCCAGGACATAGACAGGGAAGAGCGGAGAGTAGTACTCAGAATGTACAATTGTGGAGCTGAAGAGGGGAGGACGAACGGGGTAAGGAGGGGGGGTAGACGCAGAGCGAGGACGAGGAGGAGCGAGATGGTATTGCGCCCTACTACGACTGCCTAGCGCACCACGCGGAAGCGAGAGGGGACGGGGAAGGAAGAGGAGAAGGAAGAGGAGGACGACGACAACGGCGACGATGAGGACGGGGACGAGCGAGCGAGCTGGGGGGGGGGGGGCGAGGAGGGCTTTCTGGAGGAGGGGCGGGAGGGGGGGAGGAGGAGGAGGAGGAGGAGGAGGAGGAGGAGAAGGAGGAGGAGGAGGAGGAGGAACAGGAGGAGGAGGAGGAGGAGGAGGAGGACATTTTTTTTGGCATTCGCTTCGGGGTGAACTAAAGCCAGGCGCGTTCCTCGGACAGCAGCTGACCCCCAGACCATTGCCTGGGGCGCTGCCGGTTCCGATTCGGCTACCGAACCCTGCCCCAGAGGGAGGAGGAGGAGGAGGAGGAAGGTTGGAGAAAGGGAGGGGGAAGGAGATCAACTGCTACGCACTGGGGTAACTCACTTCCCACATTCTAATGGGCTGACCCCCTAGCAAAGCGAGATCTGACCTTCCCACCATAAGGGATGAAGAAAATAAAGACTAGGGGATTCGCCAGACTTTCCTGGACCCCTGATAAGAGTAAGAATGCCCACCCAACCATTCCCCTCTCAGACAAGAACATCCCCTGGACACCAACGTGCAGGTTCGGGCTTTCAGGCATGGCATTGCCATGGCACGACCCGCCAGGAGAGGGCAGAGTTTTCCAACTTAGCCCTGGCTGCCAATTCCATGCACTGTAGGGTGGGAGAGAATGGGATAAACTGGGCTGATGAGGAGGAGGGAGGACTGGAAGGATTCAGGCTGCAAGACTTCGCTTGCCTGCCTGCTGGCCTACAAGAGTACTTGTGCCATATTTGCTAGGAAAAAATGCACACGACGCTGTATTGCTCACCCTCACAGCAGTATGAATGGTCCTTGAACTGACTTGCAACTGCACATCCTAGTGCTTGCACAAAGCGAGGGGCCTGGACAACATTTGACAATAATGGCTATACGCTGCGCGTTCTAGCGCCTGCGGCCGTCACGATGATGAGGGCGAGCTGAGGGAAGCCATGCTTGGCTAAGTGTGCCTGATTCGATTGCATGCTAGCGAATTGTTTCAGTGCTGCCAGCAAGGTGGCTTAGACGTGATATTAGACATGGAGAAGTCCACATCAAAAGCGCAGATACGACCGCATTGAGAAGGACATGCCGTAAACATTGATAGCTCACGCCAAATGGCCTTCTAGCCAAGCTGATGTGCTCCGTAGCCTGAGGTCAGTTCCCCAAACGTGCTCACTACTTGCAATGTTAGGCATTGACTTGAGGGACTCTTCCCTCATTTTGCTGTCTCTGCCGACTTGCTGTTCTGGGCTGGATCTTCCAAGCCCCTGGTCTGCTTGAGCCTCTTGATCTCGTCCCTAGCATTGTCGAGCTGCTCTGCCAACGATTTAATGCGAGCCTCCTGTAAATTCTGCTTGAGTTCTTCCATTCTGGATAACGAACGATCGCCTTCGCTGGTTACCTCTGGATGGGCTTCGGACTCTGAGCTAGAGTCATTGCGCTTGCGCTCCGATTGGAACACGGGCATTCTGGGATCTGACGGCCTCCTAGCCTTCTCTCTCTTTAACTTCTTCGATTTCTCGTCCTTCTTGGACTTTTTGAGAGCCTTCCTAGGCTTACGAATGGTTCTGTCCTCAACCTGCTTCATGGAGAGCGGGACGACATGGCTGCTATCTGTGTGAGCGCGAAAGACACTGAGTGGCCTCCTGGGAGGCCGGTCTGGGAAATTGCTGACCTGGCCAGCTGCCTTGAGCCAAAATGGCTTGAGCCAAAATGGCTTCAGCCAAAATGGCTTGAGCCAAAATGGCTACGGAGGAGGAGGAGGAGGAGGAGGGGGAGGAGGAGGGAGATGAGGAGGAGGGGGAGGGGGAGGGAGGGAGGGAGGGAAGGAGGGCAGGTGGAGCAAGCCCATCAAGATGGGCGGCGCCCCGGTGGCAGCCATCACAGACGCCTAGCCCGCATCGGATCTCGCCCAGGCGAGTCTGGGAGCTGACCTCCATGAGGGTGGGGGAGAGCAGGGATGATCCTCCCCCTCCTCCCCATCCTCCTTTTCCTCTTCCTCCTCCTCCTCAGTATCATCATCCTACTTGTCCTCCTCCTCCTCGATCCTGCCGTCTCCTCCTCCTCCTCCTCCTCCTCCTCACCCTCCTCCTCCTGGCCCTCCTTCCTCCTGGCCCTCCTGGTCCTCATCCTCCTGGCCCTCCTGGTCCTCTTCCTCTTCCTCCTGGCCCTCCTGGTCCTCATCCTCCTTGTCATCGTCCTCTCCCTCCTCCTCTCCTCCTCCTCCTCCTCCTCCTCCTCCTCCTCCTCCTCCTCTTCCTCCTCCTCCTCTTCCGCCTCATCATCCTCCAGTCGTCATCAGCATCCGCATCAGCATCAGCATCCACAGCATCACAACATCAGCATCAGCATCATCATCAGCAGCAGCAGCATGTTCATCACCACAAGCATCAGCAGCATAGGCATCTCCATCACCACCACCATCAGCAGCAGCATCAGCAGCAGCATCATAAACATCAGCGAAAATATCCGCATGAGCACCATCATCATCATTATCATCCTCGCCCTCGACTTCGACCTCATCCTCATCCTCTTCGGGTGCTCCCCCAGGCTGACGAGTTGTTAGAACTCTTTTTGCGCCGTCTCTGTGCCGCCACCGCCCGACCACTGCCGCTGCCGATATTGAACTTCTCGAACTGCAGCTGTGTACATGTTCGAGGAGGCACCGCGGGCCTGCAGTTGCATTGGACAAGGGGTGCGCGTGCCGGGTCGTCGCCGCGTCGTCGTCCCACCTCCTTTTTCCAGCTACCACATACATTACAGCTTAACGGACACAATTGCCATGTCGTTACGCGTTGTTCAGACACTGGACGAACCAATCTTAAATCACTATCATACCCCGCTTTTACGAGGGACAGCGTTCCTCTGGCAAACACATGATTAGTTATCAGCCGAAAAACAAGTGGTTGCAGCCAAAACACAATTTAACAAGGACGAAGTTCCCGATTATGATGCACGAGTGGTAACTGCCAAAAGTTTTGAAAGTAACGTTATATTTGACTTGGCAGGTCAGCCGTCCCGAAATCTTGTTCCCGCATCACTGATTGATGTTCCGTTCGTCCATATTATTGGAGAAGCCTCGTCGCCGTTTCGACCGACGGTCCAGGATGTTGAGGCCATCGCGACCGATCCGCTCCCAGGGAACCCCCCGAGATAAGCTCAACGCATTCGCCGATTGAGGGGGGGGCACCATGCGCCTTTGGCTTCGATGGAACACGCGAGAGACAGAACTGGGAAACGCCGATGCCAAAGCGACCCAAGGGGGCCAACGACATCAGCATGGACCACGATTCGCCGACGCAGGTTTCCGATTCGACGTGGAGCCCAGCAGAGGCCGATCATGGCAATGCAATTCGAGAACTAGAGGAAGCGATGGATGAACACTACGACCATGAGTCGCCCCAAGTCCACGCACCCTTTGACGGAAGCGCCCCGCGGCAGGTCGAGGAGCAGTCGCGATTCCAGTAGCTCGCCTCGCCATCTGTCGCCAAGTCGCTTCTCGGGTAATTTGCTGGGCCCGCGGGCCGCCGTGTCTTCGGGCAGCAGAAAATCGACGCCCAGGAAAAGCAGGGGTGGATAGCGGCCCGCGCCGTCGGCCCGCGCGCGGGGCTCTCTCCTGCACCCGCTCGCGCCATTCTCGCCTGGCAAACGAGAGAGATCGAGAAGACTGCTGCTTCGGGGGGAAGAGCTCAGCGACCAGGCGACTACTCGGCCAGATGGGATTGAGCGACGCAAGATCGAAACAACGCGGCAGATGCAACAGGACACAGTCGCGCAGCAGGCGCATCTGGACCAGCCGGCGACCACGGAGGCGACTCAGTCGCCCCTGCCGGAAGCTGGGCGCCGCATGAAAGCACCGGGGGAAGCAGCAGAATTCGCGACATCGGAAAAGGGAAGAAATTTGAGGATCAAAGAGATGAAATAAAAGAACAGCAGATGCAATGCCATCTGTTGGCCGTCAAAGAGGCAGCGAACAAATCCGAGCAGAAGGCGGGGTGGCCCTTCGAGATGAGACAGCTCAAGCCGCTGCCGCGGCGCGGCAGGCCTGGGGGCGCGCGCCCGCCGCGGCGCGACGGGCGATTCATCGGGGGCGAGCTGCCACCGAAGATGCGAGGCGAATTCAGGAGAAAGAAAAGTCAACGCAAAACCAATGGAGACACGATCAAGCAAGAACAGGCGCAGTCGAGATCGACCCCCCCCCCAGATGGACAATCCCTGAGTGGCGAGGTTGCGCGCGGGGGCCACGCGGCATTGCAGGTTCGACCTTGGCCGGGTGCCCGGGCGCCCGGGCGCCCGCGGGCGCCCGGTGCCCCGGGGCGTCGGCGGCCGGCGGCCGGGTGCCCGGTAGCCCTATGGCCCTATAGCCCTGTAGCCCCATAGCCATATAGCCCTAGTGTCCTACACCCCTTAAAGCCCTATACCCTATAGCCCTATAGTCCTACAGCCCCATAGCCCCAACAGAAATCTGATTGGGGCTTTTCTCCGGCATCATATATACATATATCGGAGGTGAGGGGGCGAGATCGAAGTGGAACGGAGAGCCCCCCCACCGGGAAATCGATTTCGGTTTCGTGTTCGCGCGCGCCGTGCGTGCGGGCGAGGCGAAGCTGCGTGGGCGGGCGAGAAGAAAGTCTCATGTGGCTGAGGCGCGGCCGGACCAAGTGTCTCCCTTCCGGGCGGCCGGTGGCCCGCGGTGCCCCGCCGGTGCCCCGCTGGTGCCCCGTGTGGCTGAGGCGCGGCCGGACCAAATGTCTCCCTTCTGGGCGGCTGGTGGCCCGCGGTGCCCCGCCGGTGTCCCGCGGTGCCCCGCGGCGCCCCGCGGTGCCCCGCGGTGCCACGCCGGTGTCCCGCGGTGTCCCGCGATGATGAATTGATGATGATGATGATGATGATGATGATGATGATGATGATGATGATGATGATGTTGATGATGAGATGATGATGATGATGGTGATGCTGGTGATGATGCTGCTGATGATGATGCTGATGTTGTAAATGATGATGATGATGATGGTGCTGCTGATGATGATGGTGATGAGGACGATGATGATGATGATAATGATCGAGTGAGATCGAGTGCGAGATAGATCGAGTGAGATCGAGTGAGATCGATTGTGAGATCGATCGAGGGAGATCGATCGAGCGAGACCGATACTGAGATCGATAGTGAGATCGATAGTGAGACCGATCGAGTGAGACGTTGGTTCCCCCCCCCCCGAACCTCCCCCCCCCCCCCCCCCCCCCCCCCCCCCCCCCCCCCCCCCCCCCCCCCCCCCCCCGAACCTCCTTATCACCCGAAGGGTGGTCGTATAGGTGTGCATATATA